ATGCAGCTTTGGAGATTACACCGAGGCTGTGGAAGGAGATTGAGGCGGGTCCCAGGCATCCCTCCAGGGTGGGGGGCACCCATGGACAAATAAGCAGAGGAGAGGGATCCCCTTGCCTCTGGGTCACCCCATCCCCACCCTGGCCTGGGAGCTCCCAGGTCCTCTCTCCAGACTGTCTCCCAGCCGCCCTGTCCTTTGCACACAGAACCTCAGGTATTTTTTATTACCATGTTTCCACCGAGAGCCCGCCTGGCTGATCCTTGCCCTGTGCCCAGGGAAAGCCAGGCCCAGGGAGCAGAGGAAGGCCAGCTCTGCTTCTCACTGCCACCCCCACCCCCGGGCAACGTGGACCGAGGCCTGTCTCCCAAGGAGTCCTGATGGGGGAATTCCAGGGCGCAGTGACAATAGGCTGCCGTCCAATCTCCTCGCCTGGAATAGCCTCCCTGGGCTCAGCCCCCCTGGGCGGTTCCCAGAGGGAGGGAGCCAGCGAGCGCGGGAAGGACAGAGGGGGCGGGGGCACCTCGGGGCCACCCAGGCCACCCCTTGAGGCCCAAGGTCACCCAGCAACCCTGACTAGGACCCTCATGGTACTTGGGGATCTTTAGAGCAACAAGCGGCAGAGGGGAGCCAGCGATGATTGCTTTGGGGGACCCCAAAATTTGCTCTGAAGGGGAAGGGAGGTCTGGAGAGGGCAGGGACATCCCCAAGGTCACTCGGAGGATAAGGGGTAAGAAAGGCCCCGCGACCCCCTTGTCTTGGGCCCTCACATTCCCTGTGGGGAGCCAGAAACTGGAGGGGCTGGAGGGGGCCTGTGAGAAAGAGCCTGCTATGCGGGACGGGCACCCCAGGATCGTGAATGGTGGCGGGGGACGCCCAGCAGAGACTAGCATCCACGTGCTCCCCACACGGTAGTTGGTCCTCAAGATATTCGGTGGCCCGCTGGATGCCCAGCTTCGGCGGCCCGCACTCGACACTGCCTCTCCCTCCCGAAACTGCCTCCGCAGCCGCTTGTCACTTTGAGGGAAACTGAGGCCCGACCCCCATGGGTTAAAGACATCCAAGGACGTGGGGTGGGGGCGGAGCTGGAGAGTGGAACCAGCAGACCTGGGAGGGTCCCCCTGGAGGAAGCTGGGGGAGAGAAGGGGTCCCCTGGGGCAATCCCGGGCACAGCCGCCCCCTCCCCACACACCCCCTGGGTCATTGCACAAGGTCCGAGCCAGGGCAGTCTGGGAGCGCGGCCAGGGGTGAGAGGCTACAGGAGGGGGCAGGGGCAGGTGCCGGGCTGGCGAGGGCGTCTGCAGCGCCGCAGTGCCCGAGCCAGACCCGGGCTCGCCCGGCCTCCCGGCTCCTCCCGCCGGCGGCCGCTCAATAATCCACAATCGATGCAGCGAAAATATCGGGCCGGGGTTGGGGGCGCGCGGGGAGTGGGAGACCCGACGGGACGTTGGAGCACCCCTCCCCCACCGCGGGTGTCTCCAACTTCGCGTGCCCCCTCCCCCTCCGCGCACACGTGGGCCAATAATGGGGGGAAAGGCGGCCAGGGCCGGGGTGGCGGGGCACCACCTTATGGGGGGGGGTGTTCGTCCCCGTATCGGAGGGGTCCTCCCCTCCAGAGTCTCCTGGCGTCCAGGGTCCAACCGGGACCCCCTCGATTCCTCCTATGAGCAGGCCAGGGTCCAGTCCGGGGATTCGCACAGAACCCCGCCTTTGGCCTTCTCCCGGGCACCCCTCGACCTTCCCGGGTGGGGTGGGGGTGCGCCTCCTGACCCCCCCTTGTCTCTGTCTCTCTCTGTGTCTCTGTCTCCCCTCCCTCCGGCAACCACCTCCCTCCCTCCCCCAATTTCTCTCCCCTCCCACCCCGAACCTCCCACTTCTCAACATCCAACTTTCAAAGAAACGAGGGGGGAAAAAAGAGCGCGAGCGAGGAAGGAAAGCCGCTCCCCCCGCGCTCCCCGAGCCTCCTGAACCCCCATCATTGCTTATTATTACGAATTTCGAGCCGCCCTGTGCCAGGGCACCGGACGGGGACCAACGGGCCTGCGCACACCCCGACCGCAGCGGGTCCCCCTGGATCACCCGCCAGAGTCGAGTGGGTAGGGGTTGGTAGCTCTTGTGGGACATTTGGAGGCCGAAGGTGGATTTTGAAGCCCCCCCCCCCCAACCCGCCCCAAGCTGGCCGGGAAGTTGGAGAAAGGAGCCAAGGTGGGGGGGAGGGAAAGAATGAAGAAGTGACGTGTGCAGAGGCCCGGCGCGAGCGCGCTTTTCCCCTTAAAGATGTACAACCCGGGGTGCATGGCGGGAGAAGGGGGTCTCATGGTATCCTCTCCATCTGATCGCCCGCGAAAGCCAGACCGGTACTGCAATTCCCAGGCAGAGGGGCTTGGCTACAACTGCTCTTCCGTGGCCAGAAGGGCCCCAACCAACAGGGGAGCCTCCAGAACTCGGCTCTTGCTTCCTCAGCCAGCACCAAAGGAGAACTGGGAGCTGGGGGGTGGGGCTTGGGCCTCCCCCATATGTTTCCCCAGTACCCCAGGAGGAAGGTGTCCTGGAAGAATCTCAGGCTGGCCAGATAAACCCTTGCAGCCTCTTTCTAGGTGTCAGTGATTCTTACTGAACCCCACCCACAGTGTACCCATTTGACGGATCCAGAAACTGAGGCACTGGAGTGACTTGGGGCCCAGTTACCTGGCCCCAGAGCCCACATTCTGCAGGCTCTGTAGTTCTCCTTCTGGAGAACAGACCCGCCCTCCTCCAGTCTGAGCCCCCAGGGAGCCTGACGGACCTGGCCTCACCTCTCCCTGGGTTCATTCTGCACACCCTCCCAGCCTCTCTCAGGAGCTTCTGCCACCTCAAAGAACAGGATGCTCCTTGCTTGGCATCCTCCCCTGTGAAGTGGATGAACAGTGCCCACCCCCTGGGGTTGGTCAGCAGAACAGCACTTAGAAGCGCCTTGACCTTCCGTTTAAATATGCACCGCGATGCTCTTAGAAAGCTTGGCCATTCTGACCCATCTCCAAGGACAAATGATAACCCCTCACCAACTTGGGACAGCCAGCCCATGCCCAGGAAGACTGTTATTCTCCTGTGTTATAGGGGAGGAACCCGAGGCCCGAGGTAAGATGCTACTGACCTGGGGCCCTGGGGCTAGGCCAGAAGGAAGCAGGATTCACAAGGGACACATACGCCCTGCGTCCTGCCGGCTCCCCCTGCTGTGAGTGACAGTCACTCAAATGGCACTTCACTAATGTTTTGTTTTTCTAAATTCCCACTGTGCAACCATGGGGGGCATTTAAACCTCAGGATGAAAGGGAGAGACAGGTGTCTAGGAATCCAAATGCCAACATAACAGAAAGCAGTATTTTATTATTTTTAAAACCATTGTGAACACCTGGAGGGCAGAATCCCCAATTCACAGACATTTTCAAGTTCAAGTGCCTTAGGAGCTTTCTCCCAGGTGGCTTCGACTGCCAGACTGTTCCCCACACCCAACCGGCATGCAGCCTTCACCAGGTAGTTTGGGTTACTCTGGAATGCAGTTTGGAGAGCACAGACTTTCTCTCTGTCTCTAAATCTCAGTTTCCACATCTGTAAAATGGTTACAATAGATACAACTCTCACATTTTGGGAGGTTGGGCAGATTGGAGTCCTTGAGATAAGGTGTGGAAAGACAGTATTAATATATTAGTGGTGGCAGGTGCAAGTTCACAATTGAGAGTGAAGAGTTCTATCTACCTATCTACCTATCTAGGCTTCCCAGGTGGTGCTAGCTGTAAAGAACCCGTCTGCCAATGCAGGAGACATAAGAGACGCAGGTTTGATCCCCGGGTTGGGAAGATCCCCTGAAGAAGGAAATGGCAACCCACTCCAGTATTCTTGCCTGGAGAATCCCACGGACAGAGGAGCCTGGTGGGCTACAGTCCATGGGGTTGCAAAGAGTCAGACATGACTGAAGCAACTTAGCAATGCATCTGTCTGTATCTATCTATCTATATCATCCAGTTCAGCAGAAAGAGGTCCCTACAGTATACACAGCAGGTCCACAGCAGGGCAGTTTTAGTGTAGGGTTACAGTCTTGGGTCCTTTAGCCAGGAGCCCAAATTGCCTGTGCCTCAGCTTCCCGTTCTAAGAAATGGGGTGATAATAGTTTCTACCCCTCTGGCCTGTTGTAGGTAAACCGGCAAATGTTTAGACTGCACATAGTGTTTTTGAAACAAAACAATTGCTGGGCTGGACCTATGTGTGGAACATTTGGGGAGGGGGGCGTCGCATGACTCTAGCTCCTGGCGCTTTGGAACATAAGTTAAACATAAGTTGTTTAAAAATGCTCTCCCCATCACTCACTCTTAGGCTCCTCTGTAACTGTCCCAGCTACAGACACAGGAGGGTGTTGACTGTCACCCTATAACACTAATACCAACAATATGGAGCCAGCTACCGTGTCCGTCATGGGGACCAGTTCAGCAGTGCCACCCAGAAATACTACACAGCTCCACAAAAGAACAAGGGACTCCTACCTGGAGACGCCTCCAAGAAACACCCTGCAGTCCAGGGCTCTGCCCCACCCAGCACTTCGGACCATCCTCTCTGATTGGGCTGTCCTGAGCACTGTGTGGGGTGCACAACAGGAGCCCCCCCCCCCCCCCCCGTGTGACAACCATGGGTGGCCCTAGACCTCACGCAGTGTCCCCTGGGGAGAACCTCTGCTGTAGACTCAGCAAACAGACTCAAGATCTCATTTGGGAATTTTTTTAAAGAATATACATATATCCTTTATGAGAGTGTGTATCTGTTACACGTGTAGCTGCTCAGACAAAGCTGGATGCAAATAGGGTTTTTTGGAGTAGGGAGTCCCACACGGTGGGGGTGACGAGGAAGCTTTGATTTTTACTCTGGGTAATTCTACATCCTCTTAAGATGTTCATGAGTGGTTTGTGTTATTAAAAGGCAAACTTTAAAAATGTGAGTGGAATCCACAGCAAAATTTTAAAAAGCAAGAGCACCTCAGGGAGGAAGGATAAGAGCTGGAGCCGCCTGGGAACCCCCCAGCTGCCACACCCAGCAAACAGTTCCAGCCAGTGGGGCAGGACCACTCCTCCTCCAACCTTGCAGGGCATCCTGTGTGTCCCCATTTTACAGATGAGAAATTGAACCCCCAGAGGGGGATGTTAAGGTCCTCAGCCTTGAGAAGTGGGATGACACTGGGGCTGACACAGACACACAACACAGAGGCATGCAAACACACCCAGCATGCCACGAAGAGACACACAGAGGTTACAGAAACACCTCAACGGAGGCACACAGATTCTCGCAAGTCACACAGACTCCGACAGATACCCAGACTCAAGGGGACACACACACACAGACTCACGTAGACTCAGAGACACACAGACCCATACGAGGGCATGCACGACCTCAAATACAACACAAGTGCAACCAGCCACAATAACACACTCAGACCACAACACGACCATACATGCTTAGGAGCACGCGCACCCATAGGCAGAACGCCTCCCAGGATTATACACCAGCGCGCACACACACACACACACACACACACACTCACACAGGCTTCCCTGGTGGCTCAGACGGTAAAGAATCCACCTGCAATTCAGCATCCCTGAGTTGGGAAGATCTCCTGAAGAAGTAAATGGCAACCCGCTCCAGTATTCTTGCCTGGAGAATCCCATGGACAGAGGGAGCCTGGCAAGTTATAGTCCATGGGGTCGCCAAGAGTTGGACACAACTGACTGACTATCACACACGCACAGTGACATACGACACACTGCATTCCTGCTCCTGCCTCATGGCTTCCCCCTCCCAGTTGCCCCCACAGCTGGAGTCTTTGCTCCCCAGATCTTCAGGGACCGTGGCTTCCACGTGGAACTGGGGGAGGGCGGATGGGCTTGGCTCCTCCCCCTCCCACAAACACGGGTGCCTGTTTGTGTGTCTGCTGCCTGCCGTTGTGTGACTGTGTGTGCACCTGTGTAGGGGCGGAGTTCTATACACGTGTGGCTGTGAACAGATAGCTGTGAGTGTCACGGGTGCGTGCTACTGACTGCTACTGACTGACACGAAGGTGTTCCCCTGTGCGCCCGCTGTGGCGGAGGGCAGTGCCTGGGGATGAGGGGTGGGGAGGGCAGGGTTTCAGCGCTGGCAGTGGGTGTACGGGGTGGGCAGCACAGGCTGTGGAGGGGCCTGAGGGTGGGGGAGCTCACATGAGCTGAGGACCCGTAAATTGGGTGTGGATGCTTCCCTGTGTCACTGTGGGACCCCTTTTTCTACCCTTCCCAAACAGCACCCCCAAAGGGGATGCAGGTTCAAAGTAAGACCCAAAGACTCTCGCCTAGTCTTGGGGCTTTTATACTTAGAAAATTAAATAAAGCGCCCTGGGGTGGGGCGTGGGGGCGCGGTGGGGATTCCCCTGGAGGGGAGAGAACAACACTGCGTGCCCTTGCGTCTGGCGCGTCCCAGACAAGCGCTGGAGGCAGGGCTCGGGGCGCGGCTCCCTGCTCATCCAGCCCAGAGGGTCTCCTTGGCCACTTCCCTGGTCCAGACCTAACCCTCGCGAGCTTGGGTAACCACCCATCCCTCCGGACCTCCTCAGAGGAGGAGTGGGGACCCCCGCTGCCCCGCCCCCCTCTGGGCCAGGTCCCCGCGCACGCGCAGCCCCTGCCGGGAGACATCGCCGCCGAGTGATCGTGTCCCGGCGCCACCTCGCGCCCAAACCTCAAGCTGGGACCACCTGAGGCCGCGCGGATGGGGGACGACCCCGAGGCAGGGGAAGTTGGAAGGAACTGGGTGGGGAGTGAGAAGAAGGGACGGAGCTTTGGCAAAGTAGAGGAAGCCATCGTCCCCTACCTGGTAGCTCGGGTTACGGGAAAAAAGGGACTGGAGGGTGTGGGGGAGAAAGCGTAGAGCCATCCTCAGGAATAGTCACTTAGCGCCAGTCACATGAACACAGTGACACCGAAATGTCCCCTGAGACGCAGTCACACGACACAGCTCTCCACTCAGTGGCAACCCCCTAACACCCCCTCCCACTCACACGGGGACACCCCCACGGTCATCCAGGGACATCACATTACCCGGGGACACACAACCCAGACACACGGCTTCACAACACCGCCCCACGGGGACGCGTGGCACAGTCGCCCAGTTATCCCAACACGTACACACTGTCCCGTAGTCGCACAATGCTCTAACAACACGCAACACAACACACACACAGCCACGTGGATGCGCAGATACACAGATCCATGAAGGAGAGGACCCCAAGCCTGGGGACCCACAGACAGGGATGGGACCTCCTAGCCGCACAGACCCTCGAATACACCCCCAGGAACCCGTGTCGACCCGTTGCAGAGCACAGGGGCCCCCGAACGTAGCCCTCGAGTGCGGATGCCACCGACACCGGCGGACCGGACACCGGAACCTTCAAGTGCAGCTACCGGCGCTCGCGGGCCTGGGGCGCGCCCGGCCTAGACCCGGTGACCCCTCCCGGCTGGGGCCCGTCGCGCGCCGCGGCGGGGCCGGGGTCGGCCCGGGGGCGGGGCTCAGGCGGCGCTAGGGCCAGCCGGGTGGCTGCCCCTGCGCGGCGCCGAGCGCGGCCGCCCGCCCGGCTCCAAGTTCAAGGCGCCCGGCGGCGGCCGCTGCGCGCTCTCCGCCCCTCTCCGCAGCGGCCATTTTCCGCTAGCTGGCGNCCCCCCCGGCCCAGGACCCTCCCCTCGGCCCGCCCTCCCCCCGGTCCCGCGCACCGCCCGCGCCTCAGGCCGCTCTGCGTCCCGGCCCCGGCTCCGGCGGCTCCGGCTGCGGCTCCATCCCCGGCCCTGCCCGCTCGAGGGGAGGCCGGGAGAACGGTCGCGGCAGCGGGTCGTTGGGCCCGGGTCGGGCTCGCTGCGGAGGGAGCGGATCCACCTTTACGGCGCGCGCGCGCTCACACACACACACACACACACACACACACACACACGCAGGCAGCTGGGGACACTCGCGGCCCGGGCCTCCTTGACTCCGACACCGACACAGAAAGCACAGCGCCTCGCCTGCGACGTGTTACAAACACACTCAGCCTGCGGGTGTCACCTGGACACCCCGGGGCCCACACTCAGTCGGTTCGGTTCTAGGACGCACACCTTCTGCAGGATGCCACCAACACAGACTCACACTCACAAGCTGCGGGTGTCACCCAGACACATGGGGACCCACATGCTCACAGTCTGCGGGGTGTCGCCTAGATACCCACAGCCTCCACGCTGTCACATACACAAATTCACAGTCTGCAGGGTGTCACTCAGACAGCCGCACAGACTGACAATCGCAGGAAGACACTTCAGACCTCGGTCTGAGCCCCATGCCGACCCCACGACCCCTCCCTCCCGGCCATCGCCGCAGCCACTCTTGCCCCCAAGTGCAGGTGTCCCGGATACACAGACACAAACACGCACAGCGGGGAGACGGGACAGATGGGGACACAGACAGACTCGGACAGTGAGGGTGACAGACCTGGGGGGCAGGGGTTCCCTGGGGATCCCGCAGGGGCTCCAGGCGGGGCGGGGGCGGGGAGCGCGCGCGGCGGCTCCGTGGGTGTTGGGGGGAGCAGGTGCCCCCTCCCTGTGTCGGGATTCATGACGAAGCCTCCGCAGCGGGGGAGGGACCGGACCGGGGAGGGTCAGAGCCCCCGCCCCTGCCGCGCGGGCCGCTGCGGGCTGGGAAGCCGTGCCGCAGCGCCCCCCCACCCCACCCCACTGAGCGCTCTCCCGCAGTCCCCCCTCCTCGGGCAGCCGCAGAATAGGCACCGCCCCCTTCTCCCCTCCTCCTCCCCGGCTCTGCGTCTGGCGCAACCCCGGGATGATGCGAGGGGGGCTTGCTGAGACCTGGTGGGGTGGAGGCGACTCTGTGGCCGTCCTTCGGTCTGGGTTCCCCCCTCTCGCCTGCGACCTCACTTCCCCCAGCTGGGGCTCGGGGATTCAGGGATCCCTTTGGAGAAATGATTCCCAGCTCCCCCAGAGAGAGCGTCAGGGTTTCGAGTGCGGACAGGCAGCACCCCGGGAGCAGAATCAGGCCCTGACTGCCCTTCTAGAGCCCTAGCTGACTCTGGGGGCTTCTGGAAGTTCATTCTGTGCCTTGCTGGGCAAACCGGGGGCCGGCCAAAAAATCTCAGGCAAACGGTGGTAACAACAGCCCTGCCAACATAGTGCGTGTTCAGTGGTAAGGAAGTAGCCTATATCTCAGGGTCTGGGACGCTGAAGTTTTCTTCTTTCTTCTGCGCATTCCTCTCCCCACTTGAAAAAAAAATTTTGGCCGCAGCCAGCGGCATGTGGGATCCTAGTTTCCAGACCAGGGATCGAACCCCTGCGTCCCGCATTGGAAGGCAGAATCTTAACCACTGGATTGCTGGGGAAGTCCCCCTTGTGGGATTTTTAAGAAGAGAGGGGAACTCATCAACCAGCATATCAGAAACCCTAGGGCCATGATCCTGAAGTCTCTAACCCGGTGCTTCGCAGGTTCGGAATGGGGAGGTTCTGAATGGGACCTTCCTCTCACACACTTGAAGCCAAAGAAAGTAGGGCGCATATCCCAGCTCTGGCTCTGGAGAGGAAGGTGTGAAGAAGACTGAGACCCCCTGCTCCCAGCTCCTCTCTAAGCGGCCTCTGTTAATCCTCAGCTTGAACACTCCACTCCTCCCTTGCCTCAGGGAATTAGGTACCTGGGAGGAGAAGAGAGGAAAGGAGAGGAGGGAAGGGGTGGGTTGGCGTCAGCCAGGGCAGAGATTCGGGTCCTGAGGGCTATAATGGAGGCCCGGAAGCTGCCCCCGGACAGTCATTTGCCCACAAGGCCATCCTTGGGCCTGTGGGCGCAGAGCTAAATGCTTTACACAGGACTACTCATTTCCTCTCACAGCAGCCCTAGGAGGTTGGTGCTATTACCTCTGTATCCCCATTTCACAGATGAGGAAACTGAGGCTCAGACCGGGTTTTAGACTCTTGCCCAATTTCACCCAACCTGTAAGTGATGATGGTCCAGAGGATGCTTTCCTGACAATGAATCTCCTGATTTTGGCTTCTTTGGCAATCTGCATAGGCTGAGATTCTCCCAAATCATCAAGTCTTGGTTCCTTTTTGCTTAACAGTGCTTCTCTCCATCTATCTCTTTCCTCTCACATTTTGCTATAAGCAGCAAGAAGAAACTGATCTGTACCTTTGACAATTGGAAATTCCCCTCTGCTAAATATCCAAGTTCATCACTTACAAGTTCTGCTTTCTGCATAACTGTCAGACACTATTCTGTTAAGTTACCACCACTGTATATAAAAGATCCCCTTTCTCCCGGATGTGTTGACTTATGTTTCTTCCACCCTAGAACATTCCCAAAAGACAGACTGATTAGCAAACATATTAAAAATGTCCAGCCTTATAGAGACCAAAGAAAGTATAACAATAAGAACTTACCATGC